GTGTTATGTATTAATAGAAACACGGTTTTCTCATTAATTCGTCCTCAGTGGTAGTTCTTAATTGTAAATAGTATTTGTTTTGTATAGAAAAATACAAGAAATTGGATATCGTTACTAGTAAGTTCTACTTTCTTTCACCTTTTTTGCAAAAGATCATAATTTTGACGCACGTCAAAAGGGAAAAGAAACTCTTACAGAATCATTTCATTATCTGCCTGTCCGTCTGTCGACACCCTTTTTCTTAGAAACGCGAGGAGGTATCCAGTTAAATTTACTCGACTAGAAATTAGTTCAGGGAACCCGGATTATGATCAGATCCGGACCAGATTTTTCGTAATACGGTCATCTAATCAGTTTCTGATCAGACTCCGTCCCTTGATCTGGTCTCCACATCAAGAACTGATCAGCGTACAGTACTTTATCCGTTGTTCCAGCCATCTGATCAGGAATTGATCAAAGTGTAGTATTGCTTCTCTTGATTCGTCTATCTGATCAGTTTATGATCAAAGTACACTACCCTATCCCCTGATCCAGTCATCTGATCAATTCCTTATCAGAAGATTCTGATATTACGGTTTCGGTACGCTGTTTAAAGCAATACTGTATCCGATGACCTGAACTGGATTATAATACAGAATTTAGTTTTTTCTCTGATCCACTTTTTTTAATGTTAATTATAATATAATGAAACCGATTCAGCATGGATCTTTGGGGTGGATCCGGTATAGATTTTTGGAACGGATCCAACATGGATCTTTTAAACGGATCCAGTACGGATCACATATGGCGTGCCGATTTCTAATTAAATCCGGAACACGAAGCCTGATTTGCGGACTGTCATTGTGAGTCCGTTGTTTTAAATTTTTACGTTGAGTTCATTTTTCTGATCAACGACACACTAATCCAGTTACCACTGATTCGAGCGAAAAATACTTGTTTTTATAATGTATGTGCCATTTTGGGTGTGCCATTTCGACTATTTTTGTGATTAGCAATCCCGAAAGTCAGTGAGTGTAAAGTGCGAGATAAAAAGCTAAATAGCCTTACTGCACCACGCCGATCAGAAAATTTAAAAAAATTATGCACCTTCGAGTTATACATAGAATAAATAAAAACGTTTTAGTTATTATTTACTATTGTTTTTGTTATTAAATGCTTACACATCGAAAACAACCCCACATATATACAGATATAAATTTATAATTTAAAAAGAGAAAAAAAATCGTTTTAACTATTATTCTAACTATTATTCAACTATTATTCTAATTTGAAATAATACAACTTTATAAACCGTAAATGTTTTTTTCTAATTTTGCAGTCAAGATATGTAACCAAAAGTTTTCAATTTTGACTTATAACTCGAAAACAATAAAAGAGCAGAGAGGTGCCATTAACATATTTTGTATCTCTTGCCCACCCTGTATAGTACTCATCATTATTAAAACTGGAACTCTTTTTTTAAATGATGTGTTTTTGGTAACAAACAATTTGCAATTTTTAATGTTGACACTATTATGATGCAGTGATAATATGAGTTAATGCGATATAAATATCAGTTCAGAGTTTGCGTCAAAGCATTATCTTGACAATTTTGTAACATATTATCAGTTGGAGAATTTGTACTTAATAATATTGTAACAGGTTATTAAATAAATACTCATCTTCGTGTACCTAATACAACGGGTTCCACGAATATAATGATATAAAAATTAACCCCCAAATGTAAAGGGGTGGTGAAAAAAAATAAAAACACCCCAAAATAGTTTTTTGCGTTTTTTCTGAATATAAAAAAATACGAAAAAATTAGATAAAGGTAAAAAAATGTACATAACAAATTGCTAATGTTTATTTTTCGTAAATGCGATAGATGACGAGGAAATTGCATGCACAATTTCATGTGAATTAATGCGCAATGACCTAAAAATTCAATTTTTTATTCTGCAGTTTGCAGTAAAATATTATTTTTAACTAAGTAAATCTTTTAATTGTTATAAACAAATTTAATATTTGTTTTGTATTTTTGAGAAGAAAGAAGATTTTCATCATATTTTTTTTTGATTTTCGAGGAAAACGCAAAAAGCTACCTTGGGGATGTTTTTATTTTTTTTACCACCCCTTTACATTTGGGAGTTAATTTTTATATCATTTTATTCGTGAACGAAATGTGCATATTATAATAAAAATGTAGAACTTTCGTAGACTTGTCTTCGAAATGACAGATTTTACTGGATTAAACTGGACGTGGATTGCTAAAATGAAAAATAATTTAATATAACAACCAACGCGTTACTAAGTCAATCCCAATGTGGCTTTAATTTCTACGTTAATATCTAAAAACGGGCATGAAATAGAAATTTAATAGACGAGTATTATAAACTATCTATAATCTGGTTTAATTTGATATATGCAGGTTCAGCTGTATTTGAAATGCAGCTGAATTAAATATCATTAAAATTAGTCAAATTAATCAATTTAGGTCATTCGTGTACAAGAAACCTTCTTTGAGTTTTAGATTTTTATTTGGTATGGTTACATGTACTTTTAACTAATGATTACAACTCAGTACTTGTTTACTCTTACTGACGGGCCGACATCAGATATTAACGGCTTGATGCTTTTGGTTATTGGTTATGGGAATCTAGAAATCTTATTATAGGCGAGGGTTCCACCCACGAAGAATTACAACTTCAGTCAATTATGTACACTATCACGAACTTCTCAAACATGGAAACCAAAGATGAAACCTAAACTATGTTTAGTACACTTTGTGAAACTGCATTTATTGATTCTACCAATTCAAATAATACTATAGGAAATAAAGTATTTATTAGAAAATTGAAAAAATAATACTCGTCATTTCTTAATTCAATGTATGAAGGTTTCTTGTGTCATGAATATCGATAAAAGTAAAGCGTTATTGTTTTCTATTAAGCAATAAGGCCGAAAAATCATTTTTTTTTTGTTTTTTCGACATTTAGAAAATTGCAAGATTTCGAAAATACTGACGACGGTTTGTCTACATATACAATGAGACTTGGCATGAAATCGATTCATAAACAAAAAGATTATCGTATTTATATTAGGTAAAACTTTATAAAAGTCTGAATTGTGATGTACTGAAAAAGTGTGTCAATGATGGGCGCAATCAATTCAGTAGTTTTTGCAAAATCGAATTTATTTATCCCAAATTTGTTAAAAATTACCATTTTGTATTGAATATCCAATTGGCTAGCACTCTTACTGATCTCATTGTCTTCCTTTAGACTGGGAGTATCATATCCTTAAAAAAATAGGAAGCTTTTGAAATTTGTTTATGAAAAACCGTCGAAGAAGCTTTTGTTTTAATAACAAATAAAATATCTTCTGTTCTTCACTCGATTTGTTAATAAGGCATACCATTCGAATGCTTACTGAAGAACACACATGTCTATAAAATAAAAAAGTAACTTTCTATGACCAATAGATTTATGGCAATTCTTTCTAAATTAGAGTAATTCTAGCTAGTATGCTACTCGCCAAGTAAAGGTAAAGAAAAATTGAAAACGGATCTTCAGGTCCGCCCACCCTGCTAAAATTTGCAATATTTAGATTTCAGAGAGTTAAGAAAATGTTATTTTTGCACCAATTAAAATCAAAGTGTGTAATGTAGTTTAAAACTTCATGAACATTTAATATTTAACAAAATAATTCGAAGTGGTCTGTATTCTGTCGAAACTGCCAGACGCGGATCGCGATTTCGATCTTTTTGGATCTCATCAGAGCGCGCAGGCAGCTCCGACAGAACACAGACCAACCTTTACCTGCTGTCTTAACAGCGCGTTTTAGAAAATACCACAAATGGCGTGGTGAGCGCCATCTGTAGTACGATNGCGGCTAGAATTTTTTTAAGGAGCGGGGTTAAGGTAAAAAAATGCCGAAAATCCGCATTGCCCCATTGTATATATATCTGCCTATACGGGCTAATCTTCCAAATGGCTGAATTAATTTCGATGAGATTTTACTGACATGAAGAGAAGGTTGTCACTAGTGATTTAGACCAGCGGTTCCCAATTTTTCTTTTCTATTGAACGAACTCTTTCTGACTTGCACTTTTTTGGCGTAACCCCATCTCGATAAACTGATAAGAGTTTTATATCTAATAATAAATCCCCTGACACCTTATTGTGTACATGCTGAACTCAAAAACTTTATTGTACGTATATATTTAAAATGCACATTTTTACTAATGATATCATTAAAATTAGGTGCAATGTTTCATGTCCGTCAATTGAATTCGAATATCCGGAACGGTATGCAGTCAAATTCTGAATTTATTTTACTGTAGATGTAAACTGAAAAGCTCGTCTGTAATCTGTAAGTCGATACCAAACGAAACCGCGGCAACCTTCTTAATGACTGCAGAGTATTCATCTTTAATGGTAATTCAATCCAAAGGTCATTCTAATTAAATCATTCGATTCGAATTTTTAGAGAGGATGAATTCTTAATATCGATTAAATTCTCATTTGGAAGAAGATAAACATTCGTAACTTTTTTGTTCACCACATTCAATCTAGAAGCCAAATTCGTTTTTTTTTTGGTTAGGGAAGATATTTCGCCTCTCTGTAAATTTAGTTGTTCTTATTCACTTTAAGAACCTGCTGATTACGTTGAGTTTATCGAATACTAGCTTTTCACCCCTACAACGTTTTATGTAATGTCGCCACCTTAGATTTCAAATACAAACGTAGCAACAACATTTCATCCTTAAGGGTTGATTTGAATAATAATGTTCCAAACAAAAATTGCAATACCTCCCCCCCTTCCTTTTGGAGATTTCGTAGCTTATATATAGTCAACCTACAGTGTAATTATTAATTATTTTATTTGGTAAATTAAAAACGATCACGTAGAAGAACCTTTTCGACAAGACACGCTACTGTCTAAAAAATTTTAATTAGAACGTACTTTATAATCTATACTTGCATTCATCATTTTACAATACACGTGTGCTTCCGTAGGTTATCTTCTTTGCACTAAATGCAAAATCAGCATTGAAACGGCGGAAAAAAGTCGAACAAAGTGGATTCTCATTTGTATTAGTTGTTTCGCGTGCTCTAAGTTCAACGAGTTATCAGTTACTGGTTGATGGGTCAAATCATTTGCTGTTAATCAGATGTTAGAAGGAAGTGCTGAACATCGTGAATTCTGAAAAAACGCTCGTGATACAGATAATAATTTATTATCATAAGGTCGTCAGTCCTAACAATTACGCCTGATATATTTGTGAAGACAGCTACAAAAGATCATTCAGTCGTTCAGTTAAAGTAACAGAATAAGTGAGTAGTACATTGTTAATTACGGTAACACTGTTACTAGTAAAGTGGAAATATCTGTTTAGGAAGTTACAAATTTGACGGAAGCCTAGGGACGAGATCAGGATGATGGAAAATTTAATTAGTGAACCTCAGTGGATTTTAGACCGAAAGGGATCAGGGCCTCTGTTTTGGAGGAGGACTAGCATAAGCAGAAAAAACCAAAGGTATGTCTTAAGGATAACAATTAATCAACCATAACCTTCACTGTATACATTCATATTAATAATTTTATATATAAGATCAGGTTCAGAACAGTAGACATTTTATGATATTTTCAATTAAAAGAAGTCAATAAGGGGGTGAAATGTCTTTATTCTGTAATTCCACTAACGTTTTGCCTTCTGATTTAAGGTTTTTTCAAGGTGGATTATTCAACTAGTAAATCATATTAGGAGACATTGGAATTTTCCTTTTTCTTATAAGATAATTTATTAACCAAGTAACTTATCTTGAAAATGATCAGAAGGAGACATGTCTGTTGAATTACATCATCAGTAAATAACATTTCACCCCTTTATGACTTAATACCACAATTAAATACCTTAATATATCATTGGGGAAGATAGTACAAAGTAGACATTTCCATATAAGCTACTAGTAAGGGAAAACGTTCATGGTAGTCGGCACTATTCCTTTTTATGTGGCATGAGTCAAAATGTATAACTTGGTGAACGTGTTTGCACATTGTTCTATTACGTTTATCTGAAAATATCACTTATTCCTCTGGAAACTATTCTAAATTAACCGAACTGTCAGAATCTTTTGAACAGAGCTTTAAATTGCATTTATTGGACTTCTATTACTTTCTTACTTATACGAAAAAGTGGTTGAAGGAATTTTTACAAATTTTTATTGCCACATGATATTTTTCAAGAGATGATGCCGCCCTTTGATCACAGGATATAGCTAGCATATGTTATAGAATCCCATGTTCGGAATTCGCGCCACTACGGTAAAAAAAAAGTCAAACCGATAGCTCCTAACCGGGAAATATAGGCAGTTTTCTAATTCTTAGACTAATCGCACAACAAATACGTGTGAGACATTTCATGCTCCATTACAGAGACTAGGTATACAGTAATCCCCTTCCAAAGATATTCATTTTATTGAAATATTAAAGGGAATTCAGTGTGAAACTCATATTGCTTTAGGAAGTACATCGTTTACATTTACCTCCCCCGTTAAGTAATAAAAATTTCCTGAACGAAATTTACGTTTTCCGAATTTTTCTGTTAACCTCTATAAGAGCAGGCCCAGCAAATTGCATTAGGCTCGGGTGGAGATAAAAAAGGATAAAACAAGAAATATTGTTGAAACTATTATTATATTACATAACAATAACAATATCAATTACACAAAACTCGCTCAATTGCGCAACGCAAAAACTGCAGTACACTTTCTGTTTCGTAGAATAAGCTCTAGATCTCATTGATCGCCTATATCTCGATAAACATACAAAATGAAAATGTTATTCGGTAAATCTTGTGACATTGTCGACCATAAATATATTTATAAATATGTATACGGAAAACAAACAGAAAAATTTCTTTCATATAAACAGGATCAGCTTGGAATTGTGATGAGCAAGCGAATAAATCAAACGAATTACATTAGTAAAAGTTCCTACCCCATTCGTATTTTTTTAAACAATCCACAACTTCCCTAATGTTACATGCCTGCTTATTTTATCTTTTTAAAAGTTGCAGAAACATGTTCCTGTCACTCAGCAATCTGACTATCAAAATCGTCCTTATAAAACCCACTGCAAATCGTTGATTAAAAAAAATGAGCTGAATCATTTTCGAATCTCCTTTTTGTGACAAATAAGTTAGTCAAATATATCTAAAAAATCTTTTGGGGCCGTGAATTTATATGTATCAGGTGCCCTCGCCCTTCGGATTCTTTTCAGAAACTTTTCTGGACTTTTCATTGATGCGGAATTTGGGGTTCGTGAACGCTTTTTCTTCCATAATTCCTAAAATTTATCATTACGAGAAACATTTAAAACGTTAGTAACCCCTTCTATCTTTTTATATGATTCGATCACGTAAAGATCAGGGCAATTAGAGCGAAGGTCCTTTCTTAGGGTTCGAACTTCAGCATTTGTTACTTTCCCATTATACCGACACTGGAATTCTCTAAAATTTGAACAAAAACCCAATAAGGCCCATCATTATCATCATAAGGTCGTCAGTCCTAAAACTGGTTAGACACACACGTCCACTCCTTCCTATCCTCAGATAATTTTCGCATTTCCCTAAAACTAAAACATCCTCCATCCTAAACCATTTCCGAACAGTAATCTAATCTAAGTCTACCTCTACTCCTCTTAACTCCTATTTCTGCCTCTGATATATCTCTGACTAGACCTTCATGCCTGAGAAGGTGACCTACCAACCTATCTCGTCTATTTTTTATTAATTTTGATGGAGCCCTCTGTTCTCCTATCCCTTCTAATATCTCTTCATTTCTAACCTTCTCTATCCACGGAATTCTCATCATCCGCCTATAACACCATATTTCGAACGCTTCTAACCTTTTCTTTTCCGCCTCGCAGACCGCCCATGTTTCGCACCCGTACAGCGCCGCGCTCCAAACATACACCTTTAACAATCTTTTTCGAATTTCTAAATTAATTAGGCTCATGGTTAATGCTAAAGGTGGTGTCCAGCTGTAGACACATTTTTACCTAAATTGCCGTTCGGATACTACCGTAAAACATCAGTGAGACATTATTTTCAATAGGTCTTGCATTCAAATTATCGTTTAAAATGGTTATTTTTAGTGTAGGTTGTAAGTTTGAGGAAGCATGCATCCATGAAGTATTCGAGTTTCTTTTTGTATAAATTTAATAATACACATATGTCAAGTTCGTAATTACAAAATGACGTAAAATTCCGACTGGGCAAAGTACCCACAGTAGCCACATTGTCTACTGGCCTGTTCATATTGTTTTAGGAAGTACATCGTTAAGTAATAAAAATCGGAGGGACGAAATTTACATTCAATTCACGTTTTCCGAATTTTTTAGTTAGTCTCTATAAGATTTTTATTTAGGACAAAAGTGGCAAAAATTTCTCTTTCGATCAGAGAAGCAGTATAATAAAGTATAAATCACAACTTCATATATATGAAACATTTTGACATTTAATAGTGGTTAATATCAAATATTAATGTGAAAATTTATTTTCAGTTTTTACGTACTATAAACTACCTCAAGTTAATAAGGGAAAATTTTTGGCTTGTCACCCTCGCAGGGAATCGAACCCGAAGAAGTAGTTTTATAGTGGGCAAAAATTGATAATGAATTTTTATATTAATAACCACACCACAATTTGTGCTGGCATAAATGTTTTAGCACAATATAAAAATTATCAAAAATCAAGTTCTCGAAAAAGAAAACAACGGGTAATATTTAAATAACAAGTGCAACTAAATATATGTTTGGAATTAAGAAATCTTTCACAAATACTTCAAACAGTGTTACTAATACTGATAAGTTACTCCGATAAAACGATTTTTACTTATAATTAGCATAATAATAATCAAAGTGATCTCTGTTGTACAACATAATAATACTACTTTAAGTCAAACACTTAACTGAAGTGCGGAATTTCAATTGCGTAAATTACATTGCAATGACAGCAATATTTATCAAAAAGAAAAACAGTACAGCAATAATGTAATTTTAATTCAAACTGATAAACTATTGGAAAAATACAGATCAACCATTATAGGAATAATGTTAACAACAACTAAACATGGTTTTGTTGTTACACTAAAAGGCTTTAAATATCAGCGATGTACTTCATTTAACGATTACGTGAATGTTGCGATACATTAATTAAAAGTAAAATCTGGAAAATTAAACAATGGAAGGTAATAGTCACTGACAAATTAATAAATAGTTCAGTCAATATGAGCCAGGGATATGTTGTATTGAATTGAATAGGTACGCCCGTCCCTCGAATCTTTTTAAAATTCCGCCAATTTTTATTTAATTAATCCTTTCAGTTCACCTCACGCCCTCTATTTATTACCGTTCATAATCCATCTAATGCGTGTTGGTTGTCTCAGGAAAATCCGGTGTGCGTATAAAAAGAAATAAATTTCTTGATATCAAGGAATCGGAAAAAACCGAAAGAGATGAGCAGAGAGATTATGGTGACGATTGAAAATACAGAATTTTGGAACTAATGGAACACCCTGTATATTATTTTTTATATTTATTTGGCATAATGTCTGCTTTCCAACAATATAGAATTATATACAATTATTTTCAAAAACAAGCTCAGAATTTAAGATTCTCTAAAATTTTCTTCAGTACTCAGCGCTTGGCATGTAAATGTTAAGCCATGTGGAATTTGTAGGGGTGACATTTTGCTTTTTGTTTCAAACAATTTAGTCATAGCCTACTGCCTACTAATTGGACACAAAATAAAAATTTTAAAAAATCTTAAATTCTAAGCTCTGTATTACATCACCGATTATTTTTTATTTTTAAGTTGGTCCTTGTGGGTTAATGATACTAACGATTAATAATGATCTAATATTAAAACACTCGCGACATACTCTAAGTAAAATAGATATAATAGTAAGACAACCCACAATTCGAACGATCGTGCAATTTCTTTTTTGTTCGTTTGTCTCTTGTTTTTTTTTTATTCAACAATAACCCGACCGTTCACGCTATTGTTTCATTTCAGAGTGAAGTTCCGACACGACGTGGAAGTCCTTGAGTTCTGCCGCAGCGAGCACGAAATGGAAACTTTTCTCCAACAGCAACAACCAGAAGAACAAGAGGAGTCGAACACGATCTCGATGGGAATGACGGCCATTGTTTGTCTTATGGTTACGGTCCTTCTGCCGTGGTACTTGATAGGAGTTGAGTGAAAAATGAACGAAATGTGAGAGCTTAAGACACTATTTTCCTTCATTCCTTTTTATATATCTTTAATACGTGTAAACATACATTTACTATAGTACCGTGAGCAAAAGTTATTTGCTGCAAACAAAACTATAAAGGAATTACACAAAATTTCCTTTTACATTTACAGAGCAGTTAAATTTCATCATAATCATAAGGTCGTCAGTCAGTTAAATCTGCAGGATAATAATTATTGTAAATTAAATGTATTGAAAATACGTTTCTATTTCGTTCTCAACATAAGTTCAANTAAATAAAAAAAAAATTATAATCATGGGCCATTACATGAAACGAATTCAAGAGCAATCATGACAAAGAGAAATATAAAGTAAAAAAACGGGTCTTACGTTTATATGAGCAAATAAACAAAAAAGTAATGTAAACATAATTTCGATCAATCATGTAATACACATTTACAAATACACAGTAAACATAATATAATTTTTAAAAATAAAATTCGAGCATGAATAATCACATCTGCAGAAAGAGAAGTGGAAATTGTTTCGCTGTTAAACATTAACACGTAACGTGGGTAATCTTCATACAAGGTGACTATTTGTCTTAACGATCCGGTAATGTAAAATTATTTTTAAAATCAAAGGCAATTAAGTAAAATACTGTTTAGTATTTTTTGAATAATGAATGTAATCATAGTGAACCACTTACTTTCGTTATGTCTAACGAATTTTGCCTTTCACTATTATTATTTCATACTTCAAAACTAAAAAAAAACATACAAATTCGAACCTCCTAAATATAACCAATCATGTTCGAGTTAAGAGAGAATTCCAGTTAAGGAACGTTTCTACTCTAGTGAAAAATCTTTTAATTTTTGTTTCAAATACATCGAAAGTCCACCTCTAATTATCCTTACAACTTCAGAATATGATGTCAAACATTACAAGTACTTCGTTCGTGTTGTTTTTTCCTACCCTAACCATGTGATCCTAACATAACCACATTTTTGGCTTAAATACTCAAGCGGCTGATTATTTATCGCTGTAGCTGATTTTTCCGAGAAAAATGAATAAAAATTCGAATTAAAGAGATTATCCATAATGCAAATCCACACTAGAATCTTAAGTTACAGAAATTTTAGGGTTAGAAAAATGGAGAAATTTGAATTAGAGTTTGGAATAAATGTAAAATAATACGTTTGTCAATGAAATAAAAACTATTCGAGTTAGAAAATATTTCGAGTTATAGAAGTTAGTTACAGACGACCACTAAGCTACGAGAGGTGGTCAGAGCTTTGGTGCATAAGGTTCCGGGTTCGATTCCTGGCGAGGGTGTGACAGCAACAACAATTTTTCTTCATTAATTTGCGGTAATTTATAGTGAATAAAAAATAAATGAATTTTCACATATATATATATATATATACATATATA